ATATTTAATAGTATACAAGTTTTAAGTTCTTAATTCTACAAGAAAATAGTAAAATAAATTCTGAATTTCCACTAGTGTTACCCACGTGACACATTTTATCTTAGCATGTTATCATCCATATTTTATCCACAACCTTCTCGAAAAAGTACAAAATTACGTGTAAAATACTCTCTATAAAATCGTTATTGCTCAAACAGACCATCATTTTTATAGCCTTCAATTTTGTTTGGTTACAGAACTATTGAATAGAAAATCAGACCCCTCTTTCCAAACCCACCTGTCACATCATGTCTTCCACAATTTGTTGATAGTTCTCTCTTACAGGAGGATTGTCTAATCTTCGAGCACCCTTGATTAGTAATTATTTCTTATGATTTAAATCAAAATAACTGCCAAGAACAACAAAAACCTATAACCAAGGTTTTCATCTATCAAATGATGTATTGTATAACATTATGTTCTGAACAGTTAAATGTCAATTTCGCTCTCAACATCATTCCTGTGAAAAAATTAACAACTAGCTTTGATGAATTTGTAATGACTCTTGTCCATAGTTAGAAAGCCAGAAAAATTTAGAGATGTTATGGAATTTGTCTACTTTTTGCATGTTATTAGTCTATATTCTATGGTGCAGTATTTTATTTCTTGTTTTTCATGTTTATTCTTTATGTTTAATTATAAAAGTAAATAAAATGTGAAAATAGGGATCCTTTTAGGTTAGTTAAGATTAGATTAGGTAAAATAAGTAATAATAATAATATAATTAAAATGGTTCATGAAGCACGCATGCAAGCATCTCATGGGTAATGTAATTCGATAGCATAATGTGAGCTGCATGTTCCCCGAGTGACTTAAAATTTATAATGACGCAGATAGTAGTTAGACACGGTTCATAGGGCAATAAAACAATAAAATTTAATTATAAATAGATATATACTATTACGAACTTAGAGCTACTTAGGGTAAACGGATGTGGTTTCTAGTTACAATTTGAAGTCATTCTGGAAAGAAAAAAAAGTGTAATTTAGGTTTATTTATATTTTTTTTGGTGGTTACGAGGTTGAGCGAATTGCCAAATCTCATTCTGAGATACGGTAGAGAAAATAACAGATAAACTATAAAGTTTTA